TTTAAGAATGGTTTGGGATGCAAGTAAAGCTTTTATTAGAGGTTATTTTATACAACATAATTGTAAACTTAAAAAGAAGAGTCAAGAGAAAACACAAGCTGTTTTGGATGAAATAAAGAGAAAATAATTAAATAAATTTCCAGAGAAGACAAGTATTTCTCAAAAATTAAGCTTTTACAATGACAATAATCTATGTTGAGATATGTTATCTATTCCCATTAAGAGAAATGGAAATAAAAATAAACTATGTAAAGCAAAAAAAAATTGAGTTTGCAAATAGACCACGGAAGTAGCTAGCACATACATTATGAAAAGAAAAAGAAAAGAAAATGATATTGAAATTACAAGAGGGAGATATGGTATTAATGGACAATGCAGCCATACAGAAGTATTTCATCAATATTATTCCAATTTGTATAAAGGAAGTGACATCTCACTAGAGAAAATAGATGAATAGCTAAAGAAATAAAATTTATCGAGGATTACAGAGGAACAGAAACAGATTATGAACCGACCTATAACAATAAGGGAAGTTCCTGAAGCTATAAAAAGGTGCCTGGATCAGATGGATTATCAGGTTCTTATTATAAATGTTGTGAGGATGAATTTTTATAACCTTTACAAAATACGATGAACTCTATCCTACAGGGAAGAAAGGTGCCAGAGAGTTGGAAAGAGACCAATATAACACTAATACCTAAAGAGGGACAAGATTTGACTTTGACAAGAAACTATAGGCAACATTATTGAAGAATGACTACAAGTTGTTCACAATGATCCTAGCTGATTGAAAATAATTTTGCAAGAATTTATTCATGAGGATCAATGTGGGTTTTTACCTAAAAGAGAGTTAAAGGACAATCTTAGAAATGTGTTGGACATTTTGGAATACTTGGAGCAACACCATGAAAAACAAGCCATATTGATTTTCTTAGATGCAGAGGCCTTTGACAATCTGACCTGGGCTTTCTTGTTCAAGGTTTTGGAAGGTATGAATTTTGAAGCAAATTTTATAACATGGGTAAGATCAATTTTCACTTCACAGAAAGCACAAATAATAATTAATGGAGATCTAGCAAAACCCTATGAGATACAAAAAGGAAGAAGACAAGGATGCCCCACTGTCCTCTCTCTTGTTTATTTTGGTTCTTGAAATAGTGAATAGGGATATAAGGTAAGATGAGAGGATTGTGGGAGTAAAGATTAAAAAAGAAACTAATAAGTTAAGGGCTTTTGCAGATGACTTGTTATTGGTTCTGGAAGATCCTTTAAAGGGAATTGAAACATTAATGGGCAAATTAAAAGAATTTGATGCATTAGCAGGCTTTAAGATTAATAAACAGAAGATAAAAATGTTGACAAAAATATGAAAATAGATATCAAACAGAACTGATGAATAAAACGGTTTTAAGATTTAGAAGAAGGTAAAATATCTGGGTATCATTATGACAAATATGAATTGTATGTTATTCCAAAATAACTATGTTAAGACATGGAATGAAGTTTAAAAAGATATGTTAAGATGGGAGAAATTATAACTGTCATTGCTGAGGAGCATTGCTGTGATAAAAATGAATGCCTTGCCTAGAAATGATGTTTTTGTTTCAGACAATACCTGC